ACTATGTCTCTGATGACGAATCCGCGACGGATCTCGAAACGTCAGGGGAATAAAAGTATTGTCGCAGCGGTCGAGTCGTCTTCATCTCAATTACTTCCTGGGACTCTCATGTTCGCTTGTATTGGCAATGGACATTGTATTGCCTTAAAAATCTACTAATTGATCACTTCATAAAGCTGAGAAATAGCTTTTCCCGAGTATAAAATTTCAAACACGTAGTGATTGACTATCGAATGATGAGTACAAGGAAGGACATTTTTTTAGCATTTTTCCAAGGAATATTTGAATTTATAAGATAATCGAGAATCCATAGAAACACTGTATACAATTTAGGCAGCCTTTTTTTTCAAGTGCTGTTTTCGCAGACGACCGGCGAGCATTTTCGAGCATCTACTCTGACTTTTTTGTAGATTGTTGATATTTCTGCCGGTTTTATTTCAGCTCGAGAACGTGACTACTCAGCCTTCTAGCATTTTCTATTAAAAAGCAATGAAGACAACGGTGGTAGCAGTCATTCTCTCGGTTCTGTTATTAACGCGGAGTGTGCAGTCCAAAGTCCAAAATGAAAGTGAGTACTAATTTTGATTTTGATAAAGCATCAGCGTTTTAATTGCCTAAAGTCATGAGGCACGACACCTCTTCTCGGTATCTTATGTGATAGAGGCTCGAGACAGCTAGATAGGGGCGTGGGTCAACAAAACAAGACCTTCAGTTATCCGTGTTCGATCCAGCTTCATTGTGCTCACTTGCATATTCTAGAAGAAATGCGGAAGAGCTACCGCATGGCGCACCAGAGCTTCGATTTCTGCCCTATTTGTTCTTACCAGACAGCCACAACCGAACGTCACAAGGAGAAACATTGAAGTCCGAGATCGTATTCCTTGGATTACTAAATATTTGGATCGAACACTGATGCAACCTGCACCCTGGGTCACAAATTTGCTTTTAAGATCGACTTACGTACAAAGACGGTTGAATTCCCAGACCGATTTGCGGTCGGGACATTACGAATGAGATACTCAAGGCGGTACGAGCAGTTGGATAACATGGCCAAACCCTAGTTCAACATTATGATACTGAAGAAAGTTTTTGGAAGATGCACACGTGCTTTCGATAACTAAATCAGGAAAGCTGCCCAGTTCATTTGCCCTGAGATAAGGTACCGAAAGGGGGAATCCTCGGAGAACAGGATATGGGCACCAGAAGAAATTAGTACAGTGAAGGGGCAATCTCAGCGAACCATTTCAAGCTAATTAGCATGTTTGCGAAACGAGCCGTCTACTATCGATCTCCACTTCACTATTCTCATGATTCACTTGGACAAAATGATTGATCGGATATCTTACCTTTGACCCCGTTTCCATATAAATATACTAGTCCGATATAATCTGATTCGTCACTAACCTAGCATGCTGTGGAGCACACGGTGGACCTCGATGGAATCGACGGTCCAACTGTCATGCGTCTACGCGTTCCAAGGCCAACCCAAAATGACCATAGGTGAATGTCTGGCCGACGGCTGGCATAGCGTGAATTGTCTGTGCAAT